CCTCTTTTATTCTTTGCTTTTGAGAACTCCTTGGCCCTCTCAAGCTCCGCACCTGCTTTTTTCTCTAACACTTTCTCTTTCTTCTCCAGCATATCAAGAGTCTAAATAGTAAATACATAAAAAATTGTGAGAATTCTAAAATGTTTATATAATATAATAGGCAAGTGTCCAAAATTGATTGTAACGCTAGGATAGTTCTTCACCACTAGATCAGCAAATAGAGGCCATCTTCCCTCCTTAAGAGGCTAATAGCTTAAGGTTTGCAACTTCAGAAGCAGACGACGAAAGAAAGGACAAGAGTTTATTAATCATACAAAGTTTGCACACCAAATACACTTGAACGAAGCTGAAATCACATGAGAATTCCTACACACTAAATTCCCCATATACCAAGACAGAAAATTAAAGAGCTAGTTGATCAGAAGCTGCCAATGCGATACAAAATGACCGTCAGAATCTTAATCGTGCATTCAACAACTTAATTATACAAGCTAGCAAGGTTAACTACCTCTTTAATTCAGGACCCTCTGATCCAGTGAACGTCAGCTGAGAAGCATGGCAGTTGCGAACAATTTGCATGGCCATTTATGTTTGCCAAGGGCGGCAAGTTTAGTTGGAGAACATGGCAAATTCGCTTCATTTCATTTTTTGGCCAGAATTTGCTGTGTTTGCAAACTAAAGTTGCCATCCTCGCCACAATTAAGTTGCCATAAAAACATTCGATTTGCTACCCACTCCCAGCGAACGTTCGCCAGTTAGCATTTCCGTTAATTTATCCAAAGTGTAGACGGTATAAGAAAAACAAAACAGTAGACTTGACGCTCACCTCGTTTAACTTATCCAAAGTGGCCAACGCGCCGGCGTTGGCCTGCTCCTTGGGCTTCCCAAATAACCTGTTGAACATAGTGGCACCTCAAATATGGACTCGGAACCTGCTGACACAGAAGCATGGTGAGGTATAATCATTCAGTGGACAATTATGAGAACAGAAGCTCAAAGAAATCTGGTGCTCGGCAGGGTGAATAGCCAACAAACACGAGCTTGCGACTCACAATCTGGCATTAAAACGCAACACAGGAAGCCAATAGCAGCTAGATACGAAAATTCTAGATGAAAAATTCGGCACTAGAACCAGCCTACACAAATATAGCCCGCGAGCTAGGATATCACTTGGGCGCAAAGTAATGTTTCCTTACAAAAACGACGGAGATGAACTAGCAGTTGTGATTTGCGACAACAATCGTAATAGGCGTAGCTAAACCCAAAGCATCAAAGCCAACCGAGCCCGGAAGCACCACGACCCCGATCCGATGAGAAGCCAGCCACCTAGCCGCGATGAACCGACGCAAAAAGTGAGATGGGCACCGCACCCGCGGGGGGGTAGGGGGCGGATCTAGCGAGAGCGGAGAGCGGGTGCTTACCAGATTCAGGCGGCGGAGGAGTCGAGATTGGGGCTGATCCGGGAGGGCTGGCTGGCGTCCGGTGGGATTGGCTGCGGGGGTGGGTTGGGATTCTGTTTAGGTTTCTGGTTGGGGAGACGAGGGGAAGAAGGAGTCGAGTTGGAGGCCACGCGGACGGGGACAGCCGCGTGCCTGCGTACCCCACACGGCGAGGTGAAAGAGTAGGCTAAGCAAACGAAACGACTACACGCTCAATCCTTCTTCCTGTTATATTAAAATTAGAAAAGAAACTCAAAGACTATACAACAGACGTCAGGTTTTTAGAAAATTCGAGCGAACATCGCTCCCATCGTTGGATCAGGCGCACGAATCTTGGTGCTGGAGGAATCGTCACGTCACGCGTTTGAAGCGTTCACTCTAACCGGCGTTCAGACGAACGTTTTCCACTTAATTCCTCCTATTCTCTCCTAGCGCCCACTCTCTCATTCCTTCCATGATCCGCCCACCATGGTGATTCCCTCGAGAAGAATAGCCAGAGGTGGCGCTCGGCTACAAGCTCCTGGCCGGAGCGGCCTCTGGAGGAGAAGGCTAGCGGCGATCGAGTGCTCGTGCATGAGGTATCTTCAGCCCACTTCTGCAAGGTGTTCTTATCATCGTAATTAAATTTACTTCCCATCCCTAATTCATCGTTAGCATCTGGGGACCATCCCATGGCATGTCGTTCTGAAGGCGAGCACCAGATGCAATTGATAGATCAGGCTCTAGATTTTTAATGGGAGGGTTGTCATGGATCAAGGGGGGGATCCATTGCTCACTCGGTGCAGATCGACCACTTCCTGACATTCGAGGTCCTGACCTACAATGCTTTTATGGTCACTATATTCGATCGTTTCTGCGTAGAGGTGCTCATGAAGTGTGGCCAGCACGAGCCACCCGTTTCCATGGTTGGTGAGTAAGGGCTTGCAATCTCTCTTCATAATGTGTGGGTCCTGAACTTGTGCGAATGTGGTTAACGTGTATTATACACATGCTTGTTCAGTGTGGTTTAATATCTGCTCTTTACTGTTGTTGCCGCTATTTCATGCCTCTGACTGTGTGCTGATAACATCACCGCTCGATGAAGAGATTTACCACACCGCATGTCTTGCACAAAACATTGTGCTTGTGTTTCTATTCTCATGCAGCTTGCAACTTTGTGGGCAACCAAATAAAGTGCAAAACATGATTCAGAGGTTGTATTAGCTCACTCGTGCTCTAGCTACCGAGCCACTTATGCAGGGGGGGAGGGAGCGACACGAGCAACCAAACACATCCCATGCAAACCATCAGATAGTGTTAATTACTACTCTCATTTCTTCTCACAAAGTTGAGGAGGGGCAATCCAGGCCCAATTCCTTAGTGAAAAACTTTGTTGTGTATTATGTCTCTAGCCAAAGGGTTGCTGCCAATGAAAAGACAAGTTCGTAGAGGTATCATGTGGATTCATATTGGGGCTTCTTTATTGATGATAGAAGGGTGAGAGGACAGTTGTGAAGAGTCCCCAATAGTTTCTCGACAGAAACAGGTGGGAGGTGATTTGTTTCCATGAAACTGGATACAAGCAAAGCAATGTAGATGGCTTACGGTCCCTACAACACGCTTTCACCTAGCGTGTTAGCGCGCGCGCACACACACCTGCATGTTTTATCATACTAAGGCATATTTGGTTACATCAATTTCACGTTGAAAAACAACATTTAGGTCATGTTCTCCACTTCCTTTGGTAGCCCACATCGCAACATTGGGGATTTTTCTACATTGCATTTGGTTGCACCATGCTCTGGGATTTGGGCTGGGCTCTTGCAAGGTGTTGTGTTGGGTTGCACGTTCGGTCTGATTTGGCCTGATTAAGTTAGCAGTCACACATGAACAAACATTACAGTAGAGTAGATAGACATAGATCTACTCGTATACGCGTGTCAAAACGAAAAACTTACAACATGGGAGTTATGTGGAACAACGAGATAAAGCTAATGATCAAAGTAAATTTCAAACGGACGACATTGTGCGATGGTTTTGGCAAAATTCATCTAAACTAGCACGCACACATCACAAGAACATGTTAGTACAATACAATTGGAGATGCACACGAGCATTGAAACAGAAGACTTACAACACGAAGTTTTGTGAAATAACGAGGTGAAGCAACTCCTCAAAGGAAAATTTAGAAGATCGATCGAGTGTGACGAATTTGACAAAAAAGTCTTAAAAAGCTCCAATATGAACACGAAACTAAACATTTACAGCCAACAAAACTATGAACCAACCGCCTAATGGCATTATAACATCGATGTGCATCTTTTTTGTGCACAACTTGTCTCGGATCGAAGCACCGTTATATAGATTAGACGGGATCAGGGGATTAAGTGAAGGAGGTTAAGGAGGGTGGGTAAAACACACCACATGCAAAGCTAGGTAATATGAACATGTAACCGAACATTAATGGTCAACGGAACTATGAACCAATCACGGGAATGGAATCACAACATCGATGTGCATGTTTTTTGTGTAGAACTTATCTCGAACCAAAGTATAGTTGTGTGGTTTAGAACGGATCAGGCAAATGAGAATATGGGAGGTGGTAGAACATACCACGTGCAACATGAGTACCAATTTCCTTTTTGCGCCCGCTCGGGGACTGTCTGAGAGGTGTTTTTAAGTTCTGTACTATGCAGGCCCAATAGTGTTCATAAGCAATCAAACAGGTTAAAGTGGCATACTCAGGGCCTGGCTAAGGAGTATGCAGGAAACCAAACACGTCCTTATGCGCCAGACATCGAGATTTCTCTCATAGGCATAACACCAAACATGTGATGCACGTAGTTCGCAACAGGGGAGGAAGTGTGCGGCACGGTGCGGAGGTGCATTCAGGGATGGCTCTCGATGCAAAAGTTGTGGTGCAACTGCTAAAGCACCCGGCGACAGGGGCGTAGGTGGCTACGGCGTCGACGGGACGACAACACACACACGTGGACCGTGACGCCCAGAAGATTGTGTACGAGCGGTGGAGCAAGTGCAACGAAGGTCAATGCTCGAGGATTTAGACCGCACGACCACGGGCGCAGCAGCGACAACAAGAGTGAGGATGGCGATGACGATTTTCATGGTGCCGTATTCACAGTGGGGAACGTGGAGGACGGGGATCCCATCAACATTAGATATCGATTTGGGCGACAGTGCAATGGTGGCAGAAGGCGGCAATGCGTGGGAGGTGGAGTGTTGGGGAACGTAGCAGAAATTTAAAATTTTCTACGCATCACCAAGATCAATCTATGGAGTCATCTAGCAACGAGAGAGAGGGAGTGCATCTTCATACCCTTGAAGATCGCTAAGCGGAAGCGTTCAAGAGAACGGGGTTGATTGAGTCGTACTCGTCGTGATCCAAATCACCGATGATCCTAGCGCCGAACGGCCGGCACCTCCGCGTTCAACACACGTACGGAGCAGAGACGTCTCCTCCTTCTTGATCCATCAAGGGGGAAGGAGAAGTTGATGGAGATCCAGCAACACAACGGCGTGGTGGTGGAAGTAGCGGGATCCCGGCAGGGCTTCACCAAGCACAAGCGGGGAGGAAGAGGTGTCACGGGAGGGAGGGAGGCGCCAGGGCTTCAGGTGCGGCTGCCCTCCCTCCCCTCCACTATATATAGGGGCCTAGGGGGGCGCCGGCCCCTTGTAGATCCCATCTAGGGAGGGGGGCGGCAGCCCTAGGGGTGGCTTGGCCTCCAAGCCAAGTGGAGACGCCCCCACCCCTTAGGGTTTCCAACCCTAGGCGCATGGGAGGCCCAAGGGGGGCGCACCAGCCCACCAGGGGCTGGTTCCCACGCCCTTCAGCCCATGGGGCCCTTCGGGATAGGTGGCCCCACCCGGTGGACCCCCGGGACCCTTCCGGTGGTCCCGATACAATACCGATGACTCCTGAAACTCTCCCGGTGGCCGAAACTGGACTTCATATATATAAATCTTTACCTCCGGACCATTCTGGAACTCCTCGTGACGTCCGGGATCTCATCCGGGACTCTGAACAACTTTCGGTTAACCGCATACTAATATCTCTACAACTCTAGCGTCATCGAACCTTAAGTGTGTAGACCCTACGGGTTCGGGAGACATGTAGACATGACCGAGACAACTCTCCGGTCAATAACCAACAGCGGGATCTGGATACCCATGTTGGCTCGCACATGCTCCATGATGATCTCATCGGATGAACCACGATGTCGAGGATTCAATCAATCTCGTATTCAATTCCCTTTGTCTATCGATATGATACTTGCCCGAGATTCAATCGTCCGTATCCCGATACCTCGTTCAATCTCGTTACCGGCAAGTCTCTTTACTCGTTCCGTAACACATCATCCCGTGATCAACTCCTTGGTCACATTGTGCACATTATGATGATGTCCTACCGAGTGGGCCCAGAGATACCTCTCCGTTTACACGGAGTGACAAATCCCAGTCTCGATTC